TGTTATAAGGTCCAACAAACCCTCACCCCTTGCACAACGTACCAGTGAAGGTGATTTTGTCATTTTTCCAATTGACAAGACTCACAACTATCATCCGATGGAGTCGAACGCCTCCAAGACTCCATCCTTTGGAGCTGGCCTATGCGTTTCTTGCTTACATGTCCAAGACGACAAGCCACAAAGATGCTTTATCCAGCCAGTAGAAGAATCAAACATAATACATTATTCATCCTAAATTATCTACAACCGATACAGCTTCATAAACACCATCACCAGGTAATGCTTTAAAATAAAGAACATTATAAAGAAAGCATTAATACTACCAACTTCCTTATCAAAAGAAAGGTTAAAACCTTTTTGTACAAAGCATGAAAGGAAATAATATTCCTCGCCATTTCAGACGAGTACACACATTTATTCAAATCTAACTTTAACCACTATCTAGCAACAAAGTATAAACTCAATCTGGTAACAGGTGCAACCTTCTTGTTCCCCATGATTAAGTTTATCTTTCCGTGCTCCACATCCTCACTTCTTCTTCGGCCCCTGCAAGTCACAACAGCTGTGAATACCACAACCTGTATCAAGAACCCAAGAATTAGAATATGGTGAGTTATTAGACAATATAGTTTGTAAAATACATGCGTGGGATGGTTTCACTTTCCCTCCTTGACAATCCTGCAAGTACTTTGGGACAGTTTCGCCTTCCAGTGCCCCTTATTTGACAGTAGAAGCATTCAGCCATCCTTAGGGATGGCAGAAGGAGTGATAGAACCAACTTTGGTTCCAGATGAGGGATCCCTTCAAGGGACTTTCCCTTGGTACCCTTCGAGGGTGCTTCCTCTTCTTCCCTTTGCCTTGCCCGATAGCCAAAACAGGGGTCTTAGTAGGAGTAGGAGTGAGTAGCAACCGACTTACTCTTAAGACCACTTTCGGCAGTCTTCAGAAGTCCTTGAGCTACTGAGTGTGACTTCCTCCTGTTCTGTGGTATGTCATACGAAATTGATCATAACACGATGGCCAAGGAGTGCAAAATGATATCAATTGCCAACTCCTCAGGGAAGTTCACATTCAGTTCATTAGACGGTCCACATACCTTGCATTTTCTGCATGTGGCTCGTGATTGGTTCGCTATCCTTCATACGGGTTAGTGATCATGGAGGAGATTATTCATACCCTCTTGCACGAGCACTCTGATGGTACCTTTCCATCAGATCCTGATGCATCCTCAAAAGGGTAATAGTCCTCATAGGACTTTTGGAGTTTCAGCTGTCATGGTGGCCATCATGATGCATGCCACCTTGGTGGCATCTCTTTCATGTGCCTGTACTCAGCGACCTCCTCAGGAGTAGCAATGGACTCATCAAGCTCCTTTAGCTCCTTATCGAGGACATATTCCTTGTCCTCGTAACGAATAACCATCCTGATGTTCCGGATCCAATCCATGAAGTTGGAACCATCAAAGATGACCCTCCCACAAAGGTTCATGAGGGAAAAGGAGCCAGTAGGGTTAGAGCCGAAGCTTGTTGTTGGAAGACATCTGAAAAGAAGAAAACAAGTTTAGATTAGATATATCGAATCCTTAATAATACACCCAAATGTAATATTAAGGCTAGGATCCCAACACAATATATTATAACTTAGAAGAGGGATGCCGTAATCTAAGCTATATATATTTGAAGGTAGGTGAATGACGATTTCACCAATTTCTACCATGAAAACGAAATGACTTATTAGGTTTAATTGGTTTTTGAAATTCCTAGATTCTTTTGAGATTCATTGAACTTTTCAATGGCATGTTTCAATCTCGATTGTGCCCTTCAAGTTTTGTGATTGGATGCCGCGGATCACAAAACAAGGTGTGAATAACCATGCAAATTCACTTGGTACCCTAATATTATCACCTAATCAATGTGGCCGGTTAACCACACACGCTCCACGATCTATGATAAACATTAGTCACCTTCGTGTCCTACTAGTCCACGTTAGTGTGCCGGTTAACCACAAACGCTCCACCAACGACTTGGTAAGGTACAAAGTGTGAATTTCTGGGTTAGCACCATATTCAATTTTCCTAAAGTAACTAAGAGATGGGAATTATATAAAGTTTAGTTACCTTATAATATTATCATACTTTTAATGAGAATTTAAAGTCTTTGTCCTACCCGTTCGGCTAACGACCCTCCACCAGTCAAGCAAGCGGTGGTGAGAGTGGATACCCATTAAGTTGCCATTTTATAGGCAACAACCTTTACCCACCTTATAGACTGGCTTCGTGAATGAGGCGTACTAGCGGTAAGACGACTTTGATCTTATACATCTATATAATAATTAACCATTAATGTTATAAATAGTATAAAGGTTGAATTTTAACTTTTAAAACTTAAGGGTTGGAATTAAAGTATATTAAAGTGTGTGTAACTTTACAAATTCCAAAACTTGAGGACAAGTTTTGAAACTATTCAAAACTTTTCATTTCATAACTTATGAATTAAAGGTTCATAAAAATGAAGACTTTTCATTTCCATGTAACTTATGTGTTTTAAGTGTGTGTTTAAAAGAAGTGACTTTGGATATCCATAACTTGAGGACAAATTATGGACTCCATTAAAACACATAAATGATCAAGAATTAATCCTAAACAATTCAGCAAATAATTCCTATATCTTCTAAATTCATAAGAACATGAACATGATCATCAAAGTTTCAAGAATTATATGAACACATACAAAGCATGAAATTTTGATATAAGCTATTGTAAATGGATTAGAACAACCATTACACCAACTAAAACAAGTTTTAAAACACCAAAACAGTTTAGGGTAATGTTTCTAGTCCATTTCCAGCAGCAAAAGTCGAAAATCTGCATTCTGAGGCTCCTACTCGCCCGAGTGCACGAACCTACTCGCCGAGTAGTTGAGTTTACTCATGAACTCGGCGGAGAGTCCCCCCATGGACTCGGCGAGTTCATCAGGCAGACAGCAAATATTCGACTTTTTTCACTATTTTGCATCAAGTATCCAACAAACAAGCCTAGGCTCTGATACCACTGTTGGGTTTTGAGCATTCTAACACTTCCTAAGTGTACATGCAACCTATTAAACCTTGGATCTATGTTTGTCTAAGATACATGCAAAATATTATTTTCCAAGGTTTATAACCTATCTAGCATGGCATGGGGTACTTTTAACCATAAACGAACTAGATGAATTACATACCTTTTGTTGATTGTTGATTCCTTGGAGTTTGAGAGCCACGCACCAATAATGTGAATGCTCAAATGGAAATCACAAATCACCACAAACTTGGAAAAGATGTATGAGAGAGTATACTAACTCTTGATTTTGGCCACCACACTTACACCACATTAGTGTCTTTTTCATGCAACATAAGCTTGTTTATATAGTGTACATGGTTAGGGTGAAACCCTAATAACCCATGTCTTTTCCTCTTCCAAGGATCCATGGGTAAAAGCTCCATGGATCATCCATGGACTTCCATATAAGCTTAGCCCATTCCAAATGAGTGTTAGCCCACACCATATAAATATAATAGCCCATGATTTAATTAGTCTTCCTTTTAATCACTAAATTAATTCATAATTAATTCAAGATTAAAACTAATTAAGTAACATGACTTTATATTAATATATTATAACTTATAAGATATTAATAAATCGTAAGTATACAACTCTCATAAAATTATCCATAACTAGTTCGGGTGAAGTGCAACCCAAATGGACCATGCCGGGTTGGGTCAAGTATATACCAAATAAGTTATGGACTTAGACACCTTATCCAACATACCACCTGTGACATTGTTTGTTGACAATCAATCAGCTCTTGACCTTATGAAGAACCCTGTATTCCATGGCAGAAGTAAGCACATAGATATCATGTTTCACTTTATCAGGGAATGTGTAGAAAATGGGGAGATTACTGTGGCACATGTATGTGGAAAGAAACAAAAGGCAGACCTATTGACTAAACCACTAGCAAGAATGAAGCATGAAGAGATGAGAAGTTTGATTGGCATGAAGCAGATTGGAAACACTTAATTAAAGGGGAAAATGTTAAAATAATTCAGTGTTTATTTTACTTTAGTATGCACGTTTCTTTATTTTAAGTTGAATAGTTCAATAATAAAGTCAGGGACACGTGGGTCATGGTTCCCTAGTCTTTGGCAAGTAGTTGTTTAGTTCCTTATTTTCTGCTTTTATTTGAGTTTAAATAGTTAGGGGCAAAGTGTACAAGATATCACTTCCATTCCAAGTTTATGAATAAAACTGTGCAGCTTTTTGCCTCTACCCTGTGTGTGTTTCCTGTTTTGTCCCACTTCTTCCTTATAATCTTTTATCCACTGTACAGACTTGAAAAAAGCTGTTTTCCAGTTTTGCCCTTCCTGTTATTCACAAGTTTTTGTCCCCTGTGCCTGTCACTTTCTTGTGTCCTGTTTCTTGTCTTGGTAAAAAGACTTTGTTGACCCTGCAAATTACCAACATACCTTTCCAATATCGCCGATATTCACAGCTAATGTACCGGGAACGGGATCTACAGAAATTATCTCACCGGAGTATTTATCAACCACTTGCAGACCGTTTACCTTTTCGTCATCGTGTAAAATGGTCAGAAATGTAGGGTCGGAGTGCATGCCGATGCCGCTTAACCCTACGCTTTCTTGGAAATAATGGTATTTGTTCATTCTCATTTGGCAACAATATTCGTCAAATAAATCTCCGGCTAAACCACTACCTTCCATTAATTTCTGGCCAAGAAGTCTGGCCACATCACGAGTAGCTTTCATATACGTGTTAATGATATCCCTACAACAACCAATCAAACTAGTGAGTTTATATTGTTAATTCTCTTTTTTATTGAAATTTTGTATTTTCTAGTTTCGTTAGTGATCAGAAGAGCATATAGTTGGAGGGCCGAAGAGAAAGATACCGTTGGTGAGGGGAGGCTTCGAGGCGATCATAGAATTCATCGGGTGAAAAGATATCGTCGATGCTTAAAGTCTCGAAAAATGGAGTTCCTGGGTTGCGTTGCAGGTAGCCCTTACCTTGTTCGCTATGAACCGTCCGTTTCTTGATCTCATCGGGAAGACTAAGAAGTGAGGCGATCACCGCCTTCATCTCGGCCATGAGCCCCGCCGGAACACCATGGTTGACCATCCTAAAACAACCCCATTCTTCACAAGCCTTCATTATTTCCTCAGCCAATCCATCACCCTTTTGCATATCCATCACAGGCACCTCGTCCCTCGCCATCTCTTAATTTCTGATATTATGTGCTCCCAAGTGGAGTAATTTTCTATGTGGGGATACAAGTGCTGCAAAGACAGTATATATATATATATATATAATTATATATATAATATATATATATATATATATATATATATATATATATCTATATACTTAACTTGCTCATGATCCTTAGGTCTACACATTGAGGACATTGCAAAAGAGGATCATCTTGAAGAGGAAGAAGATGAAATGGCAATCTTGGATACTTTCTTTGTCACGAAATGCCTTTAGGGCATATCATGCCACATGCATAACATGGTCAAAGAAATTGGTATGTTTCAGTTGACTTTTTCCCAAAATTAGTACCAGGTGTTGATTTATCAGGTTAAAGTATCACTTGGTTCATTTACTCTTCACAATTTGGTTTTTTACTTCAAAAAATTTGATGAGGAGGATGTAATGTTTATGTGTTGTGTGTTTGATCTCAGGTTGTTTTCGCACACATTTAACTTGGCTGTTGTCTTGAGGTCATTTTGAGCCATTTATGGTTCTTATTGGCCCTAATCAAATATTTTTTTATAAATCTTGTGCATATATTGCAATTTCGTTAAATGTAATCTGTACCAAAAGTAGTGCTTTTATTTCCATTTGTTAATCAATTCTAGCTTATCTTTTCATTTTCTTATTTTATTTATTTCTCAATAGATATTTGTGGATGGTCCTTTTAGCATATCTATTTCCATAATTTGATATGAATAATTGTTAAAGTGATGTTTTTTTAGTTGATATTCATATATTTTGATGGATGGTGTAAATTTGTTTCAGTAAAGTTGTTTAAGGTGTTAAATGTTTTTATGTTTAAATTTGTGCATTTAAAAACAGAAGTAGATGTTTTGGTTGTTTTGTATGCCAACAAGGTTTGGCCAATGCTTCTTATTATTTGCAGGAATTTTTCTTGACATCTTGACATTCAGGGAAGTGGAGTTCAATGTTTTTATGTTTAAAGTTTATTTGATTGTTAGAAATGAATAATAAACAAAAGCGTATGTTAAGAGCAAAAGATTCGATAGAAAGAATCGAGACCAATACTAAAATGTCCGGACTGAAAAAAGACCAGTTTGATATCGTCCGGACCACCCGGAAAAAGAATGAACCATCCACCGTTACGAGATCAATCCAAAAAAAATATTGTATCGTTTTGAAAACTATTTCAGATAGGTTTAAATTATCATACAAAAAATATTTTAAATTTTGTGTATTTGTGTTGTAGGTTATTTTATGTTATACGGTTTATTTTTCACTTAAATGAACAAATCGAAAGGAACAAATCGTCAGAATGAAACAAATCGAAAGGAAACAACTTGATAACTGTCGAATGACACTAACTTTTGTTTGGGAAATTAATTGTCAGAATGAAACAAATCGCCGCCGCCGCATCGCGCGGGTATGCTACTAGTGTATATATATATATATAGATATATATATATATAGATATATATATATATATATATATATATATATATATATATATATATATATATATATATACACACACACACACACTAGTAGGTTACCCGCGCGATGCGGCGGCGGTAAATAGTTTCGTTTTTGCAATTAAGGTTTAGGATTAAGGAGAGTCGGGTATCTTAAAAACAAAAGTATGTTGCTATCTTAGGTTAACGATTAAAGTTTGTTGTTATTTTAGGTTGAAAGTTAAAATATAGTGTTGCTTTGTGTAAAAAATAATACTATATTTATTATTTGGGTTATACGTATATATTTTTTAGTGTTAAAGCTTTGTACTTTGAAACATTTAACCAATTATGACGACGTTTAGTTTCATTTCGTTGAATATTTTGCATATAAATTTTTTTCTTTTTCGTTGAATAGTCTATTTTCGGAAACATGTTGTATTCCACACAAAACATAAAATATTGGCTAATATCATTTATCATTAAAATTATATTAATAATTTATGTATATATTTATATTTGTATCGAAAAATTGTTTTCCTTATTGTTTATGATTTACCCTTTGTATTCTAATCGTTCTTTAAAATAATAGGTAAAGAATATTGTTATTATTTTTTTCATATGTTTTTGTAACTAATATACTTGTACTATAATTGTTATCATTATTATATTATTCGGTTGTCTATCACAACTTTAATATGTGTTAAAGGGGCAAAGTAAATATTTTATTATAAATTATTATATTATTATTGTTGTAATTTTATTTTATTATAAGTAATTTCAGATATGTTTTTACAGTAGATTAGTTAAACTTTAAATTGGGAAATATGATGATAAAATATAAAATATGAGTTGTTTCTTAAGTAAAAATATTTTAAATTATTTATATGTTTTAACAAAATCAAATTTGACCAAATGATTTTAATTTAAAAAAAAAAACAATTAAAAGACCTTTATACAAACTATAATTACTTGATTGCATTGACAATCTTTTTTCCTTCCCAAGAAAAAAATGTATCTAATGAATATTATAATGAATATTATTTTGTGATAATTACTTTTAATATTATTTATGGCATAAATGTAAATATTTAAAGAAATTTAAAATTTAACTATTGATTGCTTCGAAACCACCACCATCAGAATTAAACGATGTTTGCATTATAGGGGAAATAATTACTTTTGATTTTATTAATGGCATAAAATATAAATTTTAAATAAATTTAAAATTAGATTATTGATTTCCATTAAAACGACTTTATTTGTCCTTTAAAACTTTTAAAATAAATATACAACACTGCATACAAAAAAAAACTCATACATCAATATTTATATTGTTTAAAACAAATAGAAAACTCAATACATATATACATATAGTCGAGATTATGTCTAAATCGTAATATAGTGAATCGTAAGGATAAATAAAATTATTACAAATTATATATTACTAGGTTACAACCCGTGGAAACCACGGGTAAAAGATTTATAAAATTTTATTAAACTAATAATAAATAATTTCTGAAATTTTATAATTTTTATATAAATTATTTGGTTATGTATAATTTTGTGAATTGGACTTTTCCGCACTTTGATTACAACCAATCTTTGGACTGCCATAATATAGTCTTGGATGTAGAAAGTTGAGAGATAAAGTGAGTAAAAATGAATTAAATCAACCCCCGCCCCCTAAGAAACTTAAAAAATGTCAAATTGATACAAATGCCCATGATACCACTTAAACCTAAAAGCTTTATTCTATTTGCACATATTTTTTACTTTCATTACCAAGAAATGTCAAATTGACACAAATGCCCATGGTACCACTTAAACCTAAAAGCTTTATTTTATTTGCACATATTTTTTACTTTCATTACCAAGAAATGTCAAATTGACACAAATGCCCATGGTACCATTTAAACCTAAAAGCTTTATTCTATTTATGCGTTTAATATGGTCTTAAGCACATAAAAATTATATTTTTTTAAAGAAATTCATTATGCCGTGATAAGATTGCATAATTTTCATTTGTACATATTTTTTACTTTCATTTCCAATTTTACTTTTTTTAAGAAAATCACAACAACAACCTGGTGAGATTGTCTCAACAATTTTTGACTCACTTACCTAAAAATTAGGTTGATTTAGATTATATTTTATCTTCATCCACATACCCGATGAGTAATTTCAATAACTTTTTTCAAATCAAATGAGTGAAATTATTTTTTTTAAAAATCTAACACATCAACCGGATCAATCCTATCAAATATTATTTTAAATATAATGTAAAGAGATTTTATAAAAAAATGGAGATCTTGAAAGGGGTAATATTGAAGGTCAACCTGAAGCAATCAGATAACATCTTATATGCTTGTTTAGTTTGTTCTTCAATTCTTTTGTTTGGAAGAAGGGATGACATTCTTGATAAATTTGCATATAAAACTATTCAACAAAACACAGAAAGTTAAATGAAGTGCATTAAAATCAATGAATAAAGAAATTAACCAAAATTGTTCAATTACATACTTCATAATTTCTAGCCACGTGTTAAAAAGCTATAAGATAGTTATAGTATAGATAATTAACTGTGATTGTCAAATAATTATATATTAAATCTTTGAAATCATCAAGTAGAGTGACCTAAAAGTTAATATTTGAACTTTTAACTCTTTTTAAGGTAAACGATGATAATAAAATGACTTAAAACAACAAATCACTCACCACAATCTGCCAATTTTCCATCTCTTCCAGCTCTACATGCTTCTTGATAATATGCTTCCAAACTCTGTACATGAAAAGTAAGGGTAATGTATTTGTATTGATTTGTTTATTAAAGAAACCCAATTCTAATTTCAATGCCTCAACAAGACAAAAAAGTTAAAAAGTAGAATGTTGTAGAAATGAAAGTAGAAGGCCACAATGCAGAAAGATATGAAAAAACTATGTTGATTTTAGCCCTAAAAAGTGATTACAACATTTTTAAGGGTTTCAAGAAGATACCTGAGGCCAACCATAGTGTATAATTCTTCTTACATTTAGTTTGTCAATACCCATATCAAAAGCAATCGTTGCAACAACCTGAATGAAGAATTCAAAAAAGAAGTTGAATTTTGAAAACATTTGCCTTTTTATGTCAATTTGACACAACCACCACCATCTGTATGAAATCTGAAAATTAAAATAAGGAAGAGAAACAAAAATTTTTGGGAAGAACTAAGATAAGATACTTTATCGCCTGGAATCACAGTCTAAGAACAGAATAAATGTAGGAAGAAACTCGATTTAGTTGACTAAGATAGGATGAAGGGTGTCAACACATAATAAATCTTTATTGGGACTCTTTTACATGGCTAAGATATGTTGAACCTCAGTGACCATTTTACTTTCGATTTTGTTATAGAACAAACAATTTTTTTCTTATTTTTGCACTAACCTGTTTAGCCAATCGATGAAATGGTAGTCATCTCCAAGATAGATGAATAAGGAGCTTTTTCTAATGAGATATCGCACATTATTAGTTTATTACAATATTACTCCATAAGAAGTCCTAATAATTTTATGCAATTCCATGAATGAAGTCGATCGACAAAAAAAAAAACCGTAGAAAAATAATGATTTAGCAACCGGAGTCAAAGTTGAAATAGAAAGATGCAAACCTTAACAATATCAAAGAAAGAAATTGGGCTTACAACTGTTAGATCCTTCAACGTCTAAGAACCATCCATCGATATAGAGGAAGAAACATCCATGACGTAACGGTGGTGATCGACATATATAAACCGTGTTGATGTAGGGTTTATAGAGAGACAGAAAGATAGAGGGTGATTTGGTTCCCAAAAACCAGAGGGAAAGATTGGGGGAGAGATTATCGGTTGAATTCAATTTGAAGGTGTCAATAAGTTGTTTCCGGATTAGAAACGATTTCTACTCGGCAGGAATATGAAACGGAGAAGGGCAAAATAGGTAATCAACTTTGTAAAATACTGGGCTGAGATGATGCCACATAGGATTAAAATGTTTCTTTTATTAAGATAGGATGAATGACATGTTAATGATTAAAAGATTTCTTTTATTAAGATAGGATGAATGACATGTTAATATAATCTGAAAAACAAGCAATGACTTTTCCACTGCGGATATCTTCTTAAACATATTTAATATTAATTTTAAAATATAAATAATGATAATATTAAGAGATAGGATGACATGTATAAAGTTTTGTAAACTTCTCCGGTTATTGATAAAGGTATAGGATAGTGATATTTTTATTTATAAGATAAAAATAATGATGATAAGCTTCTTTTTAGTAAAAGCAAACTATTTTTTTTTCTTGTAATTGGTTTAAAACATTTTTTCATATTTTGTAAGTAATACAAGTTTTATATTTTGTCAGTAGTTTTAATTACCCAACAAAAAATATTTTCAAATCTTTATTTATGTTGTTGTACCAGCCAGATAGATATCTTTTCAAAATGATCGTAATAGTTTATGAATATATTTCAATTAATAGTTTAAATTATTTTTTTGTTTACATAAATTATTTAGAATTTAATCTTATGTAAATTAAATTAATATAAATAACCACAACTATTTTGAAATAAGTTTTGAGTTTATACAATTTAATTGTTAATATTGTTTATTGTTTATTTTCTACAAATTTCATACATGATAGATATTTCTAACATAATAGATATTTAAAATATGATTATTGTAATAGTAATTGGCACCTACATTAAATCATTGTAAATCACATTAGGATATATAATATTTAAAAGCATCATTATTAATAATAAAAGATAACAACCCATTCTGAAATATCATTTCAACGAATCCATATCTTAAGCACTATTATTCACATTTTAAAATAAATATCGAAACAATAAAATCCCATAGAAACAACAAGAAGTTCATAAAAGATAAACACATACAGTAACAAACCATAAACCCATATAATATTAACAAGCAACTGTTCTATACATATAATGAAAAAATCTTCAGAGAAACAAAACAAAACAAAACACTAAAATGTTCACAACAGCACATCCATATATGCTCCTAAGCAGTTAGGTCGGCCTTTTTGTACAAAGGTGAATGAACTCCGTTTAATATTATTCAAACTGAAAAAAATACTAATTTTAGTCTATAGTCACATATCTTAAAAACAATCAACCTAAAATGCACAACAAAATCAAAAACACAAAAAACAACAAATCTTTAAAGATTGGTTATCTGAGAAATCAAAAGAGTTATTAGATATAAGAAACTGAAGATAATGACTTTTTCAGAACAGCTTTTATACATGTTCAATGAACAAAAAACGAAACTATGGTCCCTTGTCTTTTTAGCAAGATTAAGATGGGGAAAGGAAAAAAAGTCTATCGAATCCCAAAGATTTAGATAGAGAAGAACGCATAAATCACAGTTTGGGATAAAGGATGTGCTTGTGAGCATATATCTATGGTTTTAAGCGGTGGTGATGGATGTTAATGGTAGTCCACCGGTGAAGACAAAAGTGGAAATATATGAACACCTATAGTTTTAGAAAAGGCAGATACAATGGTGGGTTTGATGTCGATTAGAGGTGGATGTGGCAGTGTTACATGCGGTGGTGGCTAATGATGCCGGAGAGAGTCTATAGAGGTCGGATTGGACCTTCGTCGTATGTGGCTGATGATGGCGACGAAAATGGCCGTATGTAGCTCCGTAGTGTAGGAATCGTTTGCGGTGGTGACTAATTTTGAGAGAGAGAGAGCGAAGGTTATATGGAAAAGATTAGGGTTTTGGAATAATCATACAACCTGTATTTTATATTCTGAAAGTTTGTTTTTGATTGGTTTAAATGTTTTGACATGGATCACAAATATACAAAAATCTCTACCCTACAATTAAATCTAAGGGTTTCAACTGGGACTGGGCCTGTGATGTCCGGGCGGCGGCACTGTCACGTGATCTTGCCCAAATCAATGCGGTTGTGGGTCTTTTCATACCTGACATTGCATGTGATGGGTGGCGATGTGGTCTCGATTCCAACAGGGTCTTCTCTACTGCTGTGGTACGCACCAAACTGACTGCTCACGCTTCACAGAAATGTAATAGCACACAATATATATCAAACTACTCTTTGATTAATTTGGAAATATAACTCAAAAACCAAATTAGTTTACAGTGTGTTTTTGTTTCTCTGTGTTGGTGTGTATTACCCTCTTGATAATGCACTGTATTTATAAGATGGACTAAATCATTTCCAATCCTATAATAATAAACATGAGACCCAACCAACTTGTTGGTGTCCCCTACTTTATTTGTGGGTGGAAGACATGAGTGGAGTGAAATGAGGAATTAGGATTCCAACAATCACCCCCGAATCTCTAAGTCCTTCTAGAGATGTCTTCAATCCCGATCAAGTCCCGCATTATCTTGAACTTGGTTCGAGCCAACGGTTTTGTGAGAATGTCTGCCTTTTGTTCTTCACCTGGAATGTACTCCACCTCCACTTGTTCCTTTTCAACGCAATTACGAATGAAGTGAAACCTAGTGTGAATGTGTTTACTTCTTCCATGAAAAACGGGATTCTTTGTTAGTTCGATAGCCGACTTGTTATCAACTCTAAGAACCACCTTCTCTTGCGTTTTGTTCAAGATTTCTCCCAGCAAATCTTGAAGCCATATTGCTTGACATGCAGCCGCAGTGGCTGCCATGAACTCTGCCTCGCAAGATGATAAAGCAACAGTATCTTGCTTTTGCGAACACCATGTTATTGGAGACAACCCATAGTAGAAAATATGACCAGTTGTGCTTCTTCCGTCATCTGGATCAACATTATGACTACTATCACTGTAACCAATTATTCGATTTTGTCCCATCCTCTCGTACTTGATTCCGTATCCCGTTGTTCCTCGTAAATACCTTAGGATGTGTTTGATTGCAACACCATGTGATTCTCTTGGATCTTGCATGTATCGACTAACAACTCCAACCGCATATGCCATATCGGGTCTTGTCTGCAAGAGATATCTAAGGCATCCTACCAACTTTTGGTATTGTGTCGGGTCGATTTCGGGTTCATCTTCGGCCTTCAACATTTTGGTTCCTGGATCCATGGGAATGTGGGTAGGATTGCAATCATGTAAACCGGCTTCCTTCAGAATGCGTTGTGCATACGCTTCTTGGTTTATTGTAATCCCCGATTCATCCTGTTTGACTTCAATGCCCAGGTAGTAAGTTAATCTTCCAAGATCAGACATCTCGAAGTTCTTGGACATTTCAAATTTGAACCTTTTGATCATGCTCAAATTTGTACCTGTGACAAACAAATCATCAACATAGATTGCTAAAATTAGCAAGTTGGATCCTTCGTTCTTCCGGTACACCGATGGTTCTTTCATGCACTTGTGAAATTTCATTCCTTTCAAAATCCCATCAAGTTTCGTATTCCATGCTCTCGGTGCTTGTCTAAGACCATATAGTGCTTTTGAAAGACGGTACACCTTGTGCTCGTCGCCTTTCCTTATGTAGCCTTCCGGTTGATACACATAGACGGTTTCTCTCAACTCTCCATGTAAGAAAGCCGTCTTGACATCCAAGTGGTGAAGCTCCCATCCATTGGTAGTGGCTAAGGCAATGAGAAACCGTATGGTTTCGATGCGAGCTACCGGAGTAAATACTTCTTGAAAGTGAATACCAGGTTGTTGTACGTACCCTTTAGCAACCAATCTTGCCTTGTGTTTGTTTATGGTGCCATCTGCATTTTTCTTCAGCTTGAACACCCATTTGAGTCCAATGGGCTTCACCCCCATAGGCTTGTTTACGAGAGACCAAGTATTGTTCTTGTTGATCGAATTGATCTCTGTATTCATGGCTTTGACCCACTCTGGTTCTTTCTTCGCCTCTTCAACCGATACCGGCTCGTTATTGGTTGCTAGGAGAAGTTCTTCAATGTCATCAACATAAAGTACATAATCTCGTAATCGAATTGGAAACACCTTTGGTCTTGTGGGCCTTTGGTTTTGAACATTGTTTACGTTGTTGTTGACCGGACTTGGTTGCTCATTTTCTTGTACCTCCACTCCGTCTTCAATCTCGTGATCCGATTCGTTTGGTTCAATTGGTTCGTTGTTTACATCGTTTCCTTGGTTGTTGTTCGCCTTATCTTCCGGTAAATCCCATGGTACTATGAATGATCCTGGTTCTTCATGTCGGGTGTAGCTTCGTTAACCCAATTCCACCCTTTGGTTTCATTAAAAATAACGTCTCGACTTACGATTATTTTTTGTGTAACCGGGTTAAAAAGACAATAAGCTTTCGTACCCGGTTCGGAACCAAGATGCACCAGTGGTCTTGATCTATCATCCAACTTCTTCACGTTTACTGGTTCAACTTTTGCATACGCTAGACACCCAAAGATGCGTACGTTCTCCAAATTAGGTTTTCTTTTATACAACTTCTCGTACGGAGTTGTATTACCAAGTACTCTTGTGTAAACACGGTTGATCAGGTTTGTGGAGTGTTTTACCGCTTCTCCCCATAGATAGTTTGGAACATGCATCGCCTTCATGATACTTCGTGTCATGTCCATAAGTGTTCTGTTTCTTCGTTCCACAATACCGTTTTGTTGTGGTGAATATGGGGCGGTAAGATGACGTTTGATTCCATTTAGATCACAAAATGAATTGAACTGGAGTGAGGTAAACTCACCCCCTCGATCACTTCGAAACACCTTCAAAGACTTTCCAAGCTCATTCTCCGCCAAAGCTTTGAACTTTTTGAAGTGTGAAAACGCCTCACTTTTCTCTTTTAAGAGAAAAATCCACATATACCGTGAAAAATCGTCAATTAGTGTGAAGATGTACCGATTTTGACCCTTCGTTGACGGTGTTATCGGACCGCATAAATCACCATGAACTAGCTCCAATGGTCGTGTTGCTTTGTACGTCGTCATTAATGGAAATGACTTTCTTGTTTGCTTGCCCACCAAACAAGACTCACATAATTGATTTTCATTGTCAAAATGTGGTAACCCTTTAACTAGACCATTCTTGGACATCTTCTTCATAGACTCGAAATTGATGTGCCCAAGTCTTGCATGCCAGCGCCACGTGTCTTCACTTAGTCTTGAATGAAGGAAAATAGGTACTCCAATGGGCAACTGTATTTTATAAAGGCGGTTTGGTGTTCTTTGTACCTTCATTAATAAGCAGTTGTCGGCATCATGCATTGTCAAATAGTTGTCTTTCATCCGAATATCGCACCCGGCTTCGGTTGCTTGTCCGGGACTGAAAATATTATTTTTCAAATCCGGAATAAAATAAATCTCCGTTATCAATCGTTGTTGCCCCGATTTTCCTTGGAAAACAATTGAGCCTTTCCCTTTTATTTCGACACACGAATTATCACCGAATTTGACCTTTCCGGTTATTCCTTCGTCGAGTTCGGAGAAAAATGAACGATTTCCCGTCATGTGATTACTCGCCCCGTTGTCCAAATACCACACATTGTTGTCTTGTGAGTTGTATTTGGATGGCATCACCTTTTCTTCATTTAGAAACACTTTTTCATGAAAAATACAGTTTCATCAGTGTCGTCTTGCTCGGTGAAATTGCTTTCTTGGAATTTTTGAATTCGGTCCGGACATTTGGACGCGTAATGGCCCAATTTATCGCATCTGTAGCATATAATCTTTGACAGATCTTTTTTCGGGTTTTGGTTCGAGTCTGAATTGAAATTTTGCTTGTTTTTGGGCTTATTATGGTTCAGGGCCGAACTGGGCCGGTTTCCTCTTGGGCCTGACCCACTGGGTCCTGCTGACCCGGATCCTCCACCCGACCCGGATCTGTTCCGATTAACCCCCCCACCTTCACCCGATTTCGCCCATTTCCCCTTCGACTCTCTCGATCCACCTGAAGAGCCACAACCACCGCCGCTGCTCGAGCTACCACTCGATCTCGAGGCAAACAACACCTTCGCGCCTCCTTCTCCGCTGTCATCTGCCTCCCTTATTCTCTCCTCGTACGCTTTCAGACGTCCAACTACGTCCTCGAAGCCAACGGATTTCAGATCGAGCACCTGCTCGAGGGATGCCACCAGATGGATGAATCGCCTGGGAACAACCTTCAGAAGCTTCTTCACAAGCTTCGACTCGTCAATTGTTTCATCAAGTGAGGCAGATTTCGAAGCCAAACCGGAGAGTTTTCCGGCGAACGAGTCAATTGACTCTGTCTCGATCATTCTCAACCGATCGAAATCGGTGTTTAATGTTTGCAGTCTCGCCTCCTTTACCCTATCAGCTCCGACGTATCGAGCTTTAATCGATTCCCAGCGGACCATCGCTTTATCAACGTCCCCTATCTGCATTATCAAGCTCTCAGGGATTGCTTGATACAACAATCCCATGGCAAGGTAATTCTTTTCTTTATTTTCTTCTCCTGGATCAATTACTGACCAACTTTTATGAATTCGTAGGACAACTTTCATACGGAGGGACCAGACCATGTAATTGGTCTGGTTTAGCATTGGGCAAGCCACTGATGTGGTTCCAATTTCTTTGATTCTGACCAGAGGTGTAGCAGCACCGGTACCTCCAGCATCTTCAACGTCTGACATCTTCTTTTACTGGTGTCCTTCTTGATCACCAGGTATTGAATTCAAGGCCCCTGTTCTTGAGCTTTGATACCAATTCACGCTTCACAGAAATGTAATAGCACACAATATATATCAAACTACTCTTTGATTAATTTGGAAATATAACTCAAAAACCAAATTAGTTTACAGTGTGTTTTTGTTTCTCTGTGTTGGTGTGTATTACCCTCTTGATAATGCACTGTATTTATAAGATGGACTAAATCATTTCCAATCCTATAATAATAAACATGAGACCCAACCAACTTGTTGGTGTCCCCTACTTTATTTGTGGGTGGAAGACATGAATGGAGTGAAATGAGGAATTAGGATTCCAACAATATGAGTGGAGTGAAATGAGGAATTAAGATTCCAACGGGGTCTT